TATGTACTTGTTATTTTTATATTAATTTTTAGTTTTTCTATTTTTGTCCATATAGTTTTTTATTTAAGGTGGATGCAACGACGGACGTCCCGTAATCTTGCTGTTTGCATTTCTGCGACATTTTTGTCTTATTTTTGTTTTGTTTCAAAATTCGGAGACTTTTCAATGTCCCGTCTCGAGTCGGTAAAGATCAAAGTGTCTATGTTTTGTTAGTATATTTTACAAGTTGTCGGCGCAGCGAGTGCTGCCAACAGTAAGAGACCAGTGAAATCACATATGGTTAATAAAACTCATTCGCAACAACCAAACTTTTGACTTTGTTGTACTTTTGTCCTTGCGGTGGGGACCATTTTTGTCTCAAGTTTGTCTTGTTAGAATTCTTCATTTTTTGTCGCAAGTTTGTCTTGTTTTTGTCTCATAATCTTGTTAAATACTTGAAAAATTGTTTGTAAATTTTGAAACAAACCATTTGCTTGTAAAAAAGGATAGTTTTATCTATATAAATAGTAACGTATTAAAAATAATACTTAAAATACGAATAAATCAAATTATTTATCTGTATCCGGGAAATCCAACGTAAGTCCACAGGCAAACAATTCGTAATTTTTCCTGACCTCAAACAAAACACCGAATTTCCGCGTGGAAAAAAGGAAACGAACCATTTCCCGGTATAATCGCCGGGATCATTGCAGATTTTATCTCTTGTTTTATTGCGATAATTTGTCTCTCTATCTGATAATAAAGAAGAATTACGGGGGATGAGAAAAATTTGATTTTCGAAATTTTCCAATATTCCTCGAATGAAATAATGATTCATGGTTTGTATACTCTGTTTTTTTTCTCCGGTAAGATTTCGACAGACGATGACAGAAGAAAAGCAGATGACGTCCCATACCAATCTATTTATTTTACTAAAAAAAGTTTCTAATATATTTTAAGTTAACTATGGATGGGTTTAAATATAAATCCGTCATACGTCATCTCTTGTTTGTTGTTTTTAACCACTTTTATTGGTTTATTTCAAAAATGAACATATATCAATTTAATTGGTTTGACGGAACGATGAACGACAAACGGACGCCGATGCGTATGAACTCGCCTTAAGATTTTTGAGGCTTGTCAAAGTCTTGCCAAATTATAGGATATTTTTTTGTGTCAACTTATGTCAAATACCCTGCATTTTGGAAGATGATGCATTTTGATTCGTGTTATTACGTGTGATTTGTGTCTTTTGAAGTCAAGTGGAGGAAAAATCGAGGGAAAATTAACTGTAGACCCAGAGCACAGTTTATAGTTAATACTCGCTGCCCAGGCAGAAAGTCTTATATTCCATTAAAGTTACCATCAATAAAGTTTGTATACCATCTCGTCGTAGATAAGTGCATCTCGTATATGGTACGGAGGATCGTACTAAACATATAGTAAAAACTGGAGTAGCTGTATAATATCGACATCACACGAGAGGTAAATAATGGCTTTTAGTACTGCAGAAAAATAATGTCAAAAAGTACTGGTTTAGAAAAATTAAGATTAAAGTTAATTAATCAACCTTTAAGGTATAAAATTTGGTAAGTGTTATTATTAATAAAATAGTTGTGTGTCAATTTTTAGTAAATGATATCTAGAGATTGACCTCGCCAATAGTATCATCAACTGTCGATCATAAAATCCCCTCCCCGGTACTTGATATCCGTAATTATTTTAACCAGACAGATTTTTTTCTTTTTCTGTTCGAAAAATACAACGAACGACGCTACGGTAGAAATCAAAATATATCTGTTTATATGCTCGTTCTATTTGTTTTATATACAAACTCCGTGCATGCAGTCAAAATTGTAAATACGCTGACGAATGTACGACAAAAATAAAACATTTTTTTTTCTTTTCGTGTATGTTTTTTGTATCTTGAAAGAAGGGAAGTTATAAAAAACAGAGTATATATGAGCATACATGCCATTTACTGTTTTAAATATCTAATTTGAAATAAATGTAAGAATATAAATATGTTTTTTTTTTCATTTGAAAAAAAAGATTCTAAAGAGCACATTTCAAGAATTATTTAGATATTATTATTATAGTTCTTTTTTCATATTTTATATATTTATTAAGGACTTCTTTTTCAAATATTAACATATCACCAACATGTTTAAGCTAAATTTCATAGACAATAGGCAATTAAATATAACAAAAACTAAATTAAAATTAATTTTGAATAAAATAAATACTTTTATTTATTTATAATACGTAAATATTTATGAACATGCCAGGAAAAATATAATTAAAAATAAGGTGAGATAGATTTACCCAAGGAAAAAAATTAAGTATTTTGTCCTTAAGAAATGGAAAGAGTAAAATAGTTATAACTAAAACTGTTTTCACGTGATGCTTCAATGCATTATTATCATGTAGAATGTAGAATGAGTAAGAGGGGGGGGGGGTTAATCATTGCGATCTAGAAGATCTATTTTGCCCCCCTTCCTTGAGTGACACGGTCTATAACCCATCATACCCCTGTTGTAGAGGAGACAGGGTATTTCCCATCCTCCTCTGACAACAGTTCTTTCTCCGAGGATATACACACCCCAAGTAGCATTTGGACGTTATCTAACGTCGGGTATACGTCGCGTTCAATAAACCCGACGTCGGGTACCAACGTCGGTTCGACCGCCTGACGACCCTTATTTGCACCTAAATGGGGAATACAGATTCGGGTCGCCTCGACGTCGGTATCTGACCTAATAGGGAATGTAATTCTACCAATTACCAACGTCATATTACGTTGAATTTTAGTCACTTAAAATTCGTCGCTAAGCACTTACGTTACGTTTGGTTTCATATTCGCTACCAAGAATACATAAAAACCTAACCAAACTACCTAATTACAAATGGATTCATAATCACTCCTCGAATAGAACTATAAGAAGTTAGATTGAAAATATTTCATGCATTAAAGTTTACAAAAAATAAAGATTTATATAGTCGAAAAAAGTCCGATAGAACCAATAGAAATGTAACTATTTTGTCATATCTTTAATTAAATTATGTTAAATAAATTAATTTTTTATACTATAAATATCTTTTTTTTCCTAATCTCCTACGAGCTGATATAATACGATGAGCAATCTATTAAATTACTGTGAGATTATACAGAAAAGTCCACAGACTTGGAGACATAGGAAAATCAAGTCCATTTAGCGTGTGTCCAAATTTTGACAAGTTTTCAAAAATGACAGTTTTGTTTAGACTGACGTTTAATTTCACCTGACTTCTCGGTGAATGATTTTTTTATGTTTACTCATTACCTACCTTGACGAACATGGGAAAACGAAGGTCCTTTTCAGGACCACAAATTATTTGATTGAGAAAATTGGTAACTTTTTTTGGATTAAAAAACAAAAGTTGTTAATATAATACCAATTTAAAAGTATTTTAGTAGTTTTAATACCACACTATGATATAAAATTTATTATTATTATAATGTACATTATTAATACCGTATGATCGAAAAAAAATGGCGTCCAGTTGGCTGGGAAATGACGATCGATGACATTTCCCATATAAATTTACATATAACATGACAGCGATCTTCATTTCATAGCCATCGTTGACGCCGTTTTTTCTTGATCATACGGTACTATTGTTCATTCGAAATGGCATTAAGGCCCAATTGCAACAATGATTTAAATTTTTCTTGAGTTGATATTTACTTTAATATTCACCTTAAATGAGGGAATTTGACTGATACAATTTTTGAATTTGAATTGTTTTTAATGATACTAACAATTTTAGTTCAATTTTTAATAAAATTTATTTAATATTAATAGAAATCCAAGAGATTTGAAACCTCTTTTAGCGATTTATAACATTATCAAATGAATTACAGGTGCCCTTATTTTCTATGAAAATCACACAGCTTTTTTCATAGTCGCTGCAGTTGCTATAGCTATAAAAAACTAATTTTTTAAGGTGTGAAAATTGCGACACACGCTAAATGGACTTGATTTTTCGTATGTCTCGAAGTCTGTGGACCTTTTTGTATGCCTCGATAACATATTGGTGCAGATTATTTTCACCCAAACAAATATTAACCCAAACTATACATTGATGCGGATTGTCTATGAACTCTTTCTGAAGGTCACAGAAACCTGAACGCGTAATTCGGTGTTCTTTCGCTTCTGTTATAGGTAATTTGTGATTGTGGTCCATCTGTTGTCAGTCCTCCTTGCCAGGTGTCCTGTCAATTGCTTCTTGAGGGATTTGATTCTGTCTTTCTTATGCATATTTTACTGTAAATAAAATTTTTTTCTTCTCCTCAATACATAATGTTTACATAAAAAATAAAAAACTGTTTTGCTCTTTCTCTGTGCGTTCCAAGCCTTAGGGATTTAAAATCAATTTTACTCGAAAACGACACTGCTATTATCTGTTAAGTACATTTTTATGCGAAACAATACCGTTCGGCGGCTGTGTCTAATTAAACATTTTACAACTGGAAATAAAATCCTAAAGGATCGTTTGTCTAACGATTTACAGCGTGGAGATTCACCGTTAGAAGTAAAATAATTTTTAATCTTACGACTGTTTTAATTGATCTAAATGGTTACAGTTATGACTTAATGTTGTTAAGTGTTGTACAAAATAAGGTTTAACAGATTAGAATCATTGTAAGGTATAAGTAATACTTGCCAAACATTATTAATTCTGATGAATAAAATTAATCCCACAAGATTTACCAAGTTATTTCATATTTATATTGTTATAATGAATATATTTCTATAAATATAAGAATTGATTTTCATATGACGTAAATTAAAGGTCAATTTTCAAGTTTTCTCCGTCTTAGACGAAGGGTGTACTGTCGAAAAATGGATTAGAACAAAACTTCTGTAATTTGATCCAGTTATTTGCTTAAACGTGACTGTTAAGCCGTTTAGTAATATCCTGTTTGGTAATTATATATGAAGTTAAGGGATAGCGTAAAACTCTTGTCTCCCTTTCAGGTTGGCCCTAAACTGATACAATATACGCACTAGACTTCAGACTTTGCGTTAGCAAGTATCAATACTTTAGTAAAAAGTAACGTTTGTCCTTTAATAGCATTAGTTTATCTTAAGATATCTTAAATGTCTTTAAATTTGAATCAAAATATGGTTATACACTACAGACAACATTGAATAAAGATAATAACGATAAGAAACCACAAGAGTATTCCCAAATTACGCTGGGAAAATCAGATAAGTCGATGTTGAGTTTTTTGGAGACGATCGTAACGAACACAATCTGCGGTTCGTCGTGTTTATGAAATTAATATCGCAGTAGCGTGGCGTTTATGTTTGCGTTCTGGGAAAATAAAGAAAAACCTGCCTGGCGTATACGTACGCACACACATGCACAACGGAGTGGTGTGTTTAAAATTAAAGTGTTGATACGGATTAATCGATACAAACGCGCTTGTATTAGCCTATTCCTTTAATTTTCCATATACTTTGACCGCTTTTATAAATTATTTTTTCTTATTTATCGTTTGCTTGCTTTTACTGAACTAATTCAGTCGAAAATAAATTTTATATACTGGGTGGGGCATCGTCATTGGAAACAAAGGAAATCCCATGCAGATTTTGAACTGGCTAAATATTAGCTCCCCTATTAACTTTACAGCTAAGTAGTCTAGCCAAATTTGAACAATTTTGGGCAAGCCGATTTTTAGTTATTTTTTATACAAGACGATAAAATGGTATTTTACCACCACGAGGGATGAAATCGCGAGTGAATTAATTCCGGGAGATGATAATGCAATTTTATCGTCGTGTATAAAACAATATTGTTTTCCATAGCGAGTTACGTTTTAAAAAATATTCAGAAATTATTATTTCAAGGAATTTAATATGAGTAGAAAAAATATTGTGCTGAGTTGGCGTTGGTTTTTATGTAATTTGACAAATAAATAAAGCTGTCTCTTTAGTTGTCAGTTTTAGGTCAATATTTTTTAATTCTCTTTCGTGTCGATTACTGATTGAATTAGAGCCAGAAATGGCTCCAAACGAAATAAGTAAATTACCAACAGATATTCAGGCTGAGGCGACAACCGCCACATAGTAGGCAATATGTCCAAACCAAGTTGCAAAAAATAACATCCACAGTTAGCATTTATGGCAATAACATTAGATTGGAAACATATTAGTTAAGAGGAAACCACATAAAACTAACAAAAAAACATATTCGGAGTCTCTTTCGAGGGGCTGTAAAACGAACTTTGCGCAAAACCTACATTTTCAGTTAATTTGTGTCCAATAACTGCCTTTTTTCTACAATTTTTTAAATAGTAGGCGTTGCATTCAAGTGACACAGTATTATAACAATTGAATCGGACGACCTTAGCTTGCTGTCAATAATTATTGTGAAATTGTCATAACGTGTTTTACGTAGATTCCCGGTTGCCGTAAATTTAATGTCAAGGTAAGTAAAAAAGTATCTTTTATTTTGATTTTTTGGATAAAAACTAGGTAAAGGTCAAAGTAGAACATAATCATTTAAGGGTTTTTTGATAGTGGCCTATATTCTGTCTTAGAAAAGTTGAGTCAAAAAAATCGCAAAAAATCGCAACATTAAATTTATTGGAAGCGTAAGTCTCCATGCGTATGTGTATAGTAAGATCCTTTATGTGGACACTTCTCATAAATTAATTATTATAGTAGCTAGAGAAGAACTTGAAATATAAAGTTACGTATTTTTTCTCAAGATTTCCGAAGAGGTATGTCATAAATGTCAAATGACATTTTTTGACAAATTGACAAATTTTGACAGTACCAAATTTTTTAAATTAAATGAAATGGATTTTTCTTTCAGATTTAAAAATGTGCACTTCGTGACCATTGCATCCAGCTGTTATAAAACAAAATATCAGTAAATAGTAAATGGTAAAATAAAATTTAGTTATTTTTAATAGGTATAAGTTCTGTTATTTTCTAAATCGTCATTGTTTAATTCTCAGAATATGGTTACTTATTTAAAATATAATAATAAATATTGTTCACATATTGTCTGGTATTATTAGAGACCCAACTTATTGAAATGACAAACAATCTTGAATAGATTGGATTAGTATACTCAGGGTTTTCTTTTATACATTGACACCCCCTTTATCTTTTTTATTTGACGTTTCCGAAAACTGTCTCAAATGAAAGTGGTTTTGAATAAATTTGCCAAAAAAGTCTATTTTGCATATACAAAGTGCTTCAAAAAGTCTGGGCATGGTTCAACTATCTTATTTCAAATTAGATATAGAAGAATATATAAACAAGGGTATAGGCTATGCTACATAAAAGGATTTTTAGGAGAAAATAAAAATCAAATAAGAAATTGGGTACTAATTTGAAATAAGAAAGTTGGGCCACGCACAGGATTTATAAGGCACCCTGTATATGCTAAGAAGGCTGTTTTGAAAAATGTATTCGAGACCATTAAACTTTTATTCAAAACACTTTTTTCGAAAACGTCGAATAAAAAAGATACAGAGGTTGTCAATATATAAAACAAACCCTGTATATGCCGGAGGAATAATAATTGCTCAATATTTGTCTGTTTCATCTTGGCTCTGCCAAAAATCGTAAAATTTAGTGAAATATAAAATATTCTTACCGCCTTTTGGTAGCTGTATTAGTCAATAGATAATTTTTCCCATTTTATGAATCCCCCCCACCACCCCCAACCAGTCTTAAGTCAGCCAAAACTAACTGGGTTCACGGGCTACTAGCATAGAATGTTTTTACCAAATTTGAATGAAATCGTACAAAAAAAGAATTTTTGCAACATACTTCTGGATTTTTGCCCACTGTGCGCCATATCCAAACTACTTCCATTTAAATCCCGAATAACGTATTAAAAGGAATACAAAAATGTTCAAAAATGGAAGCAATTAAAAAACGTGCGAGAAGAAATAAAGTTTTTAACCTATCCTCGCTGTTAAAGTATCATTTAATCTACTCTTGCGGTTAAAGTACTATTTTATCTACTATTTTTGATAGATATAAGGCAATTTTAACAGTTACTATGGAAAAAAAGTAATTTAAGAAAAAGTTTTTCTTGAAACTGAACAGGTAACAATGCCAAAATCAGTCAAATGTGAATAGTGTTATAGTACTTAGGATTGTAATCAGAAATATGTTGGGCAAACTAGAAGATCAATATTAACTAGATTTAAAGAACATTTAGCTCAGATAAGATATGGTAGACCGGATAAATCTTGCGTTGCCGAAAATAAATTGATAAAGAACATTGTATAGATCTTAATAATTTAAAATTAATTAAACAAGTCTCAAATTACAGGCAATTAGATGCATATGAAAGCATCAGAATTAATAAATGTAAAGTTAGTATGAACAGAGACAACGGTCCAATTCCTTCAAGTTCTTTGTTCCTACTACTCTAGTGGCGGAAATTTAACTGTTACGCTCGGTGGGCTCTGACTCGGTTGGCTAGATTTTGCCACGCCCACTCGGTGCCCACTGAGCGAGTATATAAACGCTCAACTTGTAGATTGTACTTTAGTTTATAATCATCTGCTGATGATGCTAACATGGTTAGCGAAACGCGCGTCCAGTGTAAAAGTAAAAGTGTTTTGGTGTATTGTGGTGATTTAGTGTTTTTATTTTGCTGTGTAACACCAAAGGTTCCAACCCTCAACAGTAATAGTTATGTATTTTTGTAATTGAAAACCGGTTTGAATGAGGCAAAGGTCGATCATTTAGAAAATAAAATTTGGCATTTACAAAATTACAGGATGACAACTTTAGGTGCGTTGGCATCATAGATAAAGGAAAATAACCATCTATTGTTGGCACATTTGCCTAGTTTTGTTACCTGTTCAGTTTTAATTTAAAATATAAAATAACTTAAAATCGGTTTGTCCAAAATTGTTCACATTTGGCACGTGTATTCAGCATACGCAGATATTTAAATTTGTATTTCTTTATTAACTATTAATTATTATATGATCTAATAATTCCTAAATAGATTGACAATATGTCATATTTTTTCTCGTCTAATAAACTCATAAAATCTCTCTATTTTCATAGCCAAATTCGCAAATATTACCCATTAAAAATAACTATAGTAATTCATTCAAGCCGTTGATAAATATTACATGTACTATAAAATCGCTTAGTAATGGAATCCCTATTAAGGTTATGATTTTTTATACTGAAACAGCCCTACCCTAGCTAGAAAGATAAAATTAAAATTTTTATGTAATTAAATATTTTTGTGGTTATGTTGTGTAATTTCTCTTACAAATAAAACTCTTTTTTTTGAACAGCATTTTTACCAAAAAAAATTCTCTATTTATTATAGATTTAATACTAGCTGATCCGGCAAACGTTGTTTTGCCATATAAGTATTTTTTTATGGGACAACAGTCATTTTTGTCCAAATTTGGTTGAAAATTATTGAATTACTAATATTGCTATTAAAAAATAGGGGTTGATAGTTAAGGGTGAAAATTAAAGGTTGCATGTATTTTTAATGCCACATCATAAAAATATAAAAATAAAAGAGGTTGTCCAAAAATTAGAAAAATATAGAAAATTTGGGGTGGACCACCCTTATCACTTAGGGGTATAAAAAATAGATAACAACCTATTTTCAGACCTACTAAATAAAGATATAAAATTTTATCAAAATCGGTCAAGAGTATGGTAACTAAAACTGTGACACAAGAATTTTATACAGAGAAGACCAGGCTACTAGTAACATAGCAAGTTGCCGGACGAATTTACGTTTACCCGTTTTGCGTTCGTACTCGAGATTCACTGCCGGCTAGTCGGCTGGTCAGGCAGTACGCAGTTGCAGTTGTGCTTGGACGGGTCGGTCGTGATAGACTAGGAATACGACTCGAGGAGTGCCGAGTATTTAATATTTTCATTTTAAGTGTTTACCTTCACTTAAAGTAACATTTAAAATGAAAATACTTAAATATTTATTATTTGAGTGTGTTTACAAGCCAAAACTAAAAATAAGTAAGTTCTCTAAACCCCCAAAAAAACTAATATATTAC